GCAATCGCCGCCGCCGCCGTCGCCGCCGTCGTCGTCGTCGTCGCCGTCGCCGCCGTCGCCGTCGTCGTCATCGTGGTGGACGTTGTCGTCGTCGTTGCCGCCGCCGACAACGCGGCCTCCGCCGCCGCCCCCGCTGGCACCGCCGCCGCCCTCGCAACCGCCACCGCCGTCGCCGTCGCCGTCGTCGTCGTCGTCGTCGTCGTTGTTGCTGTCGCCGCCGTTGCCGCCGTCGCCGTCGTCGTCGTCGCCGTCGCCGCCGTCGCCGTCGCTTCGTCGTGGTGGACGTCGTCGTCGTCGTTGCCGCCGCCGCCAAGGCGGCCGCCGCCGCCGCCGCCCCCGCCGCCGCCGCCGCCCTCGCAACCGCCACCGCCGTCGTCGTCGTCGTCGTCGTCGTCGCCGTCGTCGCCGTCGCCACCGCCGTCTTCGCCGTCGTCGTCTTCGTCGCGGTGGACGTCGTGGTCGTTGTTGCCGCCGCCGCCACCGCCGCCGCCGCCGCCCCCGCCGCCGCCGCCACCACCACCGTCGTCAACGTCCTCGTCGTCGTTACCGACGGCGCCGTCGTCGTCGTCGTCACCGTCGTCGTCATCTTCGTCGTGGTGGACGTCGTCGTTGTCGCCGTTGCTCTCGCCACCGCCGCCGTCGGCGTCGTCGTCGTCGTCGTGGTGGACGTTCGTCGCGAACGTCGTCGTCGTCGTTGCCGCCGCCGCCGCCGCCGCCGCCCCCGCAACCGCCGCCACCGTCGTCGTCGTCGTCGTTGTCGTCGTCGTTGCTGCCATCGCCGTCGTCGTCGTCGTCGTCGCCGTCGGAATCGTCGTCGTCGTCTTTGTTGTCGTTGTCGTCGTCGTTGTCGCCGCCACCTTCGTCGCCGTCGCCGTCGCAGTCGCCGCTGCCTTCGACGTCGCCGTCACCGTCGCCGTCGCCGCCGTCGTCGTCGCAGTAGTGATCGTCGCCGCCGCCGTCGTCGTTGCCACCGTCGTCGTCGTCGCAAACGCTGCCGCCGCCGCCGCCGCCGTCGCCGTCGCCGCCGCCGCCGCCGTCACCGTCGCTGTCGTCGTCGTCGTCGTCGCCACCGCCTTCGTTGTCGTCGTCGCAGCCGCCGTCGCCGTCTTCGCGCAGTCGTCATCGTCGCCGTCGCCGTCGTCGTCGCCGTCGCCATCGCAGTCGCCGCCGCTCCCGCCGCCGCCGCCGTTGCCGCCGCCGCCGCCGTCGCCGCCGTCGCCGCCGCCGCCGTCGCCGCCGCCGCCGTCGTCGTCGTCGTCGTCGTCGTCGTCGTCGCCGTCGTGGTGGACGTCGGCGTCGCAGTCGTCGTCGCCCTCGCAGTCGCCGTTGCCCTCGCCGCCGCCGCCGCCGTCGTCGTCGTCGGCGTCGTCGTCGTCGTCGTCGCCGTCGTCGCCGTCACCGTCGCCGCCGTCGCCATGATAGTCGCCGCCGCCGCCGCCGCCGCCATCGCCGTCGTCGTCGTCGTCGCCGTCGCTGTCGCCGTCGCCGACGCCGCCGTCGCAGCCGCCGCCGTCGTCGTCGTCGTCGTCGTCGCCGCCAACGTCTTTGTCGTCGTCTTGGTTGTCGTCGTCGTGATCGTCGTCGTCGTCGTCGCCGTCGCCGTCGCCGTCGCCGTCGCCGTCGCCGTCACCGTCGCCGCCGCCGCCGCCCCTTCCGCCGCCGTCGTCGTCGCCGTCGTCGTCGCGTTGTCGTCGTCGTCGCCGTCGCCGTCGCCGCCGCCGCCGTCGCCGCTTCGCCGTCGTCGTGGTGGACGTCGTCGTCGTCGTCGTCGTTGCCGCCGCTGCCAACGCGGCCGCCGCCGCCGCCCCCGCCGCCGCCGCCGCCCTCGCAACCGCCGCCGTCGTCGTCGTCGTCGTCGTCGTCGCCGTCGTCGTCGTCGTCATCGTCGTCGTCATCGTCGTGGTGAACGTCGTCGTTGTCGTCGTTGCCGCCGCCACCGCCGCCGCCGGCACCCCCGCCGTCGTCTTCGTCGTGGTGGACGCCGTCGTCGTCGCTGCCGCCGCCGCCAACGCGGCCGCCGCCGCCGCCCCCGCCGCCACCGCCGCCGTCGCAACCACCACCGCCGTCGTCGTCGTCGTCGTCGTCACCGTCGTCGTCGTCGACGTCGTCGTTGCCGTCGCCGCCGTCGTATCGTTGTCGTCGTCATTGCCATCGCCGTCGCAATCGCCGCCGCCGCCGCCGTCGCCGCCGTCGTCGTCGTCGTCGCCGTCGCCGCCGTCGCCGTCGTCTTCATCGCGGAGGGCGTTGTCGTCGTCGCTGCCACCGCCGACAACGCGGCAGCCGCCGCCGCCCCCGCCGGCGCCGCCGCCGCCCTCGCAACCGCCGCCGCCGCCGCCGTCGTCGTCGTCGTCGTCGTCGTTGTTGCTGTCGCCGCTGTCGCCGCCGTCGCCGCCGTCGTCGTCGCCATCGCCGCCGTCGCAGTCGCCTCGTCGTGGTGGGCGTCGTCGTCGTCGTTGCCGCCGCCACCGACGCGGCCGCCGCCGCCGCAGCCCCCGCCGCCGCCGCCGCCCTCGCAACCGCCGCCGCCGCCGCCGTCGTCGTCGTCGTCATCATCATCGTCGCCGCCGCCATCGACGTCGTCGTCGTCGTCGTCTTCGCCGTCGTCGTCGTCGCGGTGGACGTCGTCGTCGTTGTTGCCGCCGTCGCCGCCGCCGCCGCCGCAACCACCGTCGTCGACGTCGTCGTCGTTGCCGTCGGCACCGTCGTCGTCGTCGTCGTCGTGGACGTTGTCGTCGTCGTTGCCGCCGCCGCCGCCGCCCCCGCCGCCGCCGCTGCCGCCGCCGCCGCCCCCGCAAACGCTGCCGCCGTCGTCGTCGTCGTTGTCGTCGTCGTTGCTGCCATCGTCGTCGTCGTCGTCGTCGGAATCGACGTCGTCGTCGTCGTTTTCGTTGTCGTCGTCGTCGTCGCCATTCGGTCACCGTCGTCGTCGTCGTCGTTGTCGTGGTGGACGTCGGCGCCGTCGTCGTTGCCGCCGCCTCCGCCGCCGACGCCGCCGTCGCCGCCGCCCCCGCAACCGCCGCCGCCGTCGTCGTCGCCGTCGTCGTCGTCGTCGACGCCGCTCGGGGCGGACGGAGGACAAAGTCAGATGACATGCCAAGCGCGCCTTTCCAAAAATAGATGTTGCGAAACTACGGCGCGCACCCGGAACCTCGCAGGCAAAGTTCATGTAGCGACATGGGCGAAGAGATCGTGCAACCGCATTCCGGCGCGGATGAGCTGCTGCGCCCTCGTTTTAGCAAGGCGTTCAGTTTTCTCCGGGCAAGTCTGCTACGCTGACGCTCGCGCCGTGCTTTGCGAGGCACACGAAGCAAATGCCGACTCAACGCGCAAGAAAAATCGGCTGGATGGCCATCGCAGGGCGCGCGCATCGCCACACGCGCAAACACGTGCGCGCGCATCTCTGGGCCGGCAGCCAGCCGGAACGGAGCGGAAAGCAGAGGAATAATAAAACGATACCCGCGAACAACCAGGGCACCCCGAAACAAAACAGCGAAGAATAAGAAAAACCTAATCGGATGAATAAGGGCAGGAAAATCCACCCTGGATGTTCGGGTTTTGGAATCGCTCGCCATTTTTTGTTGGACCTCCTGGGGGTTTCTCGTCGCCACGGGTGGATTCCCACATGGAAGCGCCAGCCGCGACGCGCGCCCGCCTGGAGTCAGGGGCGCGAGTCGACTTCGAGGGATGACAGGGAGAACAAAATGAAGCCAAACGCAGCATACATCGAATTCATAATGGTCACCAGTGCCACAGCACAGCTGGCAAGTTCCACCAACGCGCAACAAAACCCAACGGATCGAAACTGCAACGAAAGACGCCCTGCGTCTGGTCTGGCATGCAGGGCGCACTGGGCCCCGCACCTTCCATCAACCTGTCCAAGCCGCCCTTGCCCCTCAGGCGCAACCCAAAAACCTCGCTCGAAAAGCCGGCCTGCACCGCCGCAGAGACGCCACGCACCAGGCAGCGCCGCTACTCCTGAACTCCAGCTGGAGCAGCCAAGCTGCAAGCTCAAGGCTGTCGTTTTTGATGGTTGGCGCTCTGCCGCGCGCTGCGCGACCATGGCCTGTCTGGCGCCGCGACGGGGCACTTTGCAGATGCAACGAGGATTGGGAGGAGCAAATCGAGAAGGAGAGCCCAGACCACATCCCGACGAGGAAGAGGAAGAAAAGGAAGAGGAGGAGAAGTGGCACCCCAGGAGAGAGCGTGGGTCCCCAAGGTGGAAAGCAGCGCGAGGAAAATTGCGATCGTCGCGAATTCGCAGCCATCGGAGCTCGCGAACAAACCATGTCATCATCCTCAGGCCCTTTGAACTATATCGACGGCCGGCGCTTAACAATCGAGCGAAACCACATCGCTCAAAACGGCCCCTCTAGGTTCACCGCGGGAGGCGGAGGAAGAGAAGGTCGCCGACTGGCTAGAATACGCACAACTCGGGAGCGCCTGATTGCGGCTCGGAGACAGCCATAGAGACGGCTGCAAGCGCGGGTGGGTGATACAGGACGCGTCCGAACATATCAACGGCGACGGCATGGGAAAGCAAGCAGGAAGCAGGGGCGGAAGAGGCATACTTCCCGGGCAGGTAACGGAGCAAACGGTGACCGCCGGGCAAGTGGCGCGATGAATCAGATGGTTTCCAAACGAGCAGACACATCCGAATATGCATCGGCCCCCCTCATCCCCTGGCCCGGTCTTGCGGCGGGCGAGCTCGTGGGTGGCCCTGCGGGCGCCCCAATTCTCGCGCTGCTGGGGAACTCCAACCTCGGCTTCCTTCCGGGCCCGAAGGTAGTTTCGCGGCTCCTCCCGGGGCGGGTTCTGATTCCCCATCTGATGGAGGGTTAGTCCCAAATGAGCTCTTCTCAGATGGAGGAGATGTCCCTTTTCCGACCACTGGCCATGGTCGTCTCGGTTCAACTCGATCTACCGGCGCAGGGCCCCCCCCCCCCCCCCTTCATCTCCGCGCCCCCCCCCGCCACGCGGGCGGTCTGGATGCGTCGGCGGGCCTGGTCGATCCACGCCGCCAAGGTCCTGGGCCAGGCCGGCAACTTCCCCGTGAAGCAGGAGTTCGACATAATGCGGAACGAACGGGTCGAACTCCTCCTGGTCGGCCCGCGGGAAGTCCGACGCCCCCGGCGCCCGCTCGGCGACCCGCTCGGCGCCCCTTTCGCCCCAGAAGAAGGCGGCCATGGCGTAGGCCACCCGATTGATGATGGGGAGGGGGCAACCAACGTCTGCGAACAGCATGCGGCGGCAGTCCTCTCCCCGCCTCAGGCCGTCGTAGCGGGCGAGGGCCATCAGGTAGCGGTGGCGGGGCTCTTTCCGCTTCGGTGCCCGAGGGCGCCCTCGGCGGTCTTGGCGTCGCCGTCCTCCATCCGTCTCTCCAGAGAGAAATATTCGACCGGGGGACTAATCGTTTTATCGCCGAGCCCGCCCCCCCGGGTAGCCCCTTCCGGGTTGGCGCCCGCCCGTCCAGAGGGGGCGCCCGCGAGCCCGTGGACGGCGTCTCCGGGCCCCGCCCCGCGTTGCTGGGCGAGTTTTGGCCTGCAGCCTCCTGCCATAGGCGATCCGCAGCAGGGCCCCCTAGGAGAGCTCGGGGGCGATTCCACGCCGGGTTTGGCGGAGCGCTCGGCTTGCACCCCCCGAATGATGGAGCGCGCCGCCCCCCCCCCCGGGAGGGCGCAGGCCCGCCCCAGGGTCGGGCCGCCCCTCCCCGGCGTCTCGGGTCTCAGGCGCCGGAGGAAGGCTGCTAGCGCCCCCCTGGCCTGCCCGGTCAAATCCCGGAGATGCGCCTTCGCCTCGGCCCCGATCTCCTGCGCCCCCCTTCCCGCGATGTCTTCCGAATACTGCGCGCGCGCCGCGCGCGCCTTCTCCGGGGCATAGGCGGCCGACGTCTCCGAGAGGGCGGCGTCGAGCAGGGCCCCCTCCGCGGCGGCGGCGACCAAAGCGCCCCTCGGCGCTGCGCCCGAGGGCCGACTGGGCGGGCCCCCCCCATGCCGGGGGCCCCCCGCCTCTCCCCGGGAGTGGAGCTCCGGGCCTTCTCGCGCTCCTCGGGGGCGGGGCCAGGCCGGCGAAATGGGCTCGGGGCCCGCGCGTCGAGCGCGCAGATTACGCCAGCGGCCTCCCTCTTCCGAGCGGAGGGCCATGGCCATCTCCTTCAGTTCGGGGTTCCTGCTCGCGGGGGTCGCCCCTTCCACGGTGTCCTCCCGCTCCTTCTCGGCGACCTCCAGGAACGCGTCCTAATCCGCTGAGATGCGGAACCGACGCTCGAGGCCATCTGCGCGAAAACGAATCGAGGGGCCCCAGCGCTCACAGGTCTGGCACATCTCATTCAACTTGCCGCACACATGGTGGAAGGCACCCTTCTGTTGGCGGACGTCGCGGGGTATAAATCTGCGCAGATGCACAGCGAGTGCTGCGTCGATCCCTGGGACCCACCCCAGACGTGCCAGCTCTGTTGAATCGTTGGATGAAGTCACGCACAGCCAACGCACACTCGAATTCGATGAAGTAGATGGAACTTTGATGTGGCACCGTCGGTGGGGTAGTTTGGAAAACGCTGTTGGAATTGGCGCCGATGGTCCTCACGAGATCGTTCTCACGAGTGGCCGCGGGGTCGTCCTCACGAGCTTGAGCTTTGAATGCTGTCAAAAATTTGGTCGGCACCACGAGCCCTCTTGGAGCTGTTGGGCAAAATGCCAGCTGGTATCGAAGAGCCACACCGAAGAGCGGAACCACTGGCAGCAGGCGACTGGCCACCGACAGCACGCCTTCTTGAAATTCTGTTTAAGCTGACCATTCACTGACGCACAAAACTCATGCGCGCGATCGATCACTCCAGCCAATGATGACCTCGCCCCAGTGATGGCACTGAAGTGCTCGTTCAATGTCTTGCATCATCGCCAGCTTGGCGTCGACCTGCTGGATGATCGCCTGAGTGGCAGCAGACGTGGCAGGCTCGATGGCAGCAACGATAATTGGTTTGATCAATCGCGGGAGTGCCAATTGCGAATGCGAGCGCAAGAGTATAGAAGGGGGCCCAACTCCCGCAGTGCAAGAAGCGAGCGGGCGCCAAGCTGAACGGAGGAAGAGGAAGAGGAGGAGGGGGGCCAGCGCTCGGACTGAAGAAGGGAGTTCGGCCATCCTGGGCCTCTAGCCGCATCCTCTTCTAGGGGGCTTTCTTGGCAGGCGGGGCCGATCACGGAGACGGGCGGGCGGCGCGCGTCTCGTGAAAACATCCCTGGCAATCTGAAACCTCGCTCGGATTGCCCTCGCTGGGGTCGGCGGGGCCATGATCTGCAAGTTCTTTCGCGAGCTGGGCCAGGGGGGTGGGGGCTCTCAAAATGATTGGCGAATTCGCTGCCCCCTCGGGATGTCTTCCCTCCATGGCACGCTGCTTCAGTACACGTCTACCGTGGGCGATCATCTGCTAGGCCTCGAGCGCTCTCTGTAAAGGCGCCGCAGGTCCAGCGCAACATTAAACTGAAGGGGCTGCATGCGTCTTCATATCCAAAGAACTACGGATTGTGACCTCGGGGGTTGCAGACCAGGTTGCTGTGGCCCTCGCAGTAGCCATGGCATTCCTCTTGGTCCCGTCTGGCCTCGGCTGCGCTGGTAGTGCAACTCTGGCGACAGGCAGCGCATATGAAACTTTCCCCCCAGGGGTGCCATTGACGCTTCCTTCGTTCGAGGACGGGGTCAAGGGGGGGCCTCGACGGAGGAGGGGAAGGGGTCGGGCCCCGCGAGCGGCCAGCCGACGCCGTCCCATTGGGCGGGTTCAAACACGAAGTCGGTTTCTCGAAAGCTTTGGCACCTATCCTGGGGGCGACTGGAGGCCACAGCTGCAGGGCTTCCGCGACAGAACTTAAATAGTTCGCTAGTAGTTCATTCCGGGCTTCTTGCAACTGGGTCTCGTGCAGACTTGGTTGCAGAGCTTGGGCGGCGGCTACCTTCGCATATTTGTCGGCAGCGCCATTGCCTTTAGCTCGCCGCCACTCGTCACTAAACATTGGGAGCTCGTCTATATGCACGTGCGCTTTGATCTCGCTTAAACGGGGGCCCAGCGGGGTGGCGCAAGCGCCGCCAAGGACCCTGAAGGCCCCGTAGAGATCGGCCCGCGAAAAAAACACTCTTTCCTGTGCACGTCGATGGCTCCTGGGTAATCTACGTACATCTGGGCGCGTGGGTGAGCATTGAGGCCGGCAGCAAGCACGGCGCAATGCTCAGCAGCGGGGGAGGAAGAGGGCAGATGTTTGCCCACACGCCCCCCTAGATACGCAAAAACATCTCCTTGGTCGCCGATGGCCACTAGAGACCATCCAGCGGCGTTGTGATTTTTATGCCCTCCAGGTTGCAGGCAGGGCCCGTCGGTGGAAATTTCCCCAGCGAAGGCCTCGCAAGGCTGTCGGCTGGGTTCTCGGCACCAAAACTCGGCGTATTCGTGTCCAAAACCCTCAGGAGCCCCCGTGCCAAAATCTGGTTGGGGCTGGTATCCGCGCGCTACAGCCTGATCCTTCACCCTCGAGATTGCGTCAAGTTCATCGGCCGTGAAACGTTCGCGCAAAGGGGCACTTAGCGGGCACTGCAGAATGCGATGTCTCAGGTCGTCTCTCTCGCACCCGCGCTGGCATTTGCCGTCTGAGGCATGCCCAGCGCTCTGCAATCGCGAATTGGTCCAGATACTCTGGTGAGAAAACTAAGAAGGGTGGATCTGGCTTTCTTCGGCAGCGACGTCCCAGCCAACATTCTTCGGGCAATAGTTGCATCGAGGGTCTTCTGGGGGAAACCTAGTTTCTTGGCGGCTAAGTGAAGAGTGCCTGCCCCCAGGCCTCCTGCATTTGTTGGGCCAACATTCTAGGAGTGCAGGTTGTAAGTGGATAGCGATATCCGCTAGCATCCTGCACCTCCAAAACCGAAACAGAGCTCCAGCCGATTCGTCGGATCGACAAAACGGCGGCCCCAAAGGGGCCTCGCTCGGCTGCCCACTTGGAGGGAGGGGCGCTCAATATGGGTTGGGCCAGGCTCTTCAGTTCGAGTAACTCTCGGGGGTGGCTGGGTCTCGTCGCAGCTCCCCAGATCATAATCGCCCAAGTCAGCGCAGGACCTAGTCCTGCTCGCCAGGTGGGGTCTCCTAGTACTGCCAGACTAGGAGATCTACTTCTCGTTGCACACCGAGGCCCTGCGACTTATGGATTCGGACTGTAAGTTTCGGAACTCCCGGGGCTCCATGCCAACCACTTCGGTGCCGTGAGTGAAGGCCTGCTGGAGCCCAGTCTTCCAATGCTTCTTGGCGCCCCCTCCCACGATTTTGACAGCTCGGATTCGGTGTCGACGCTTAGTATGTTCGACAGATCGTTTGTACAGGGTCGCCTTGGCAAGTCGTCGCAGTACTCGCAGCCTCGAGGCCCCCGCAGCGCTGTCTATCCCAAGATTGGTGGCACTGTGGGGGTCCTGGGGGCCAGCATGCTCCCCAAGGGCCTTCCTAATCTGCTTGCGCAGTCTGGCAGTAGATGCTATAACCTGAGCTTTGTGCAGCGCCAGCTTGCACTCGAGCTCTTCCGTCACCGGCGCTGCTAACCTAGCCGCGGAGTGTTGCAACTGTCGTACTAGGGCCCGTGTATCTCTGTGTTGTTGTCCCCGGAATAGGTCATCAACGAACATCTGGAGGCCCGTTCCCTTAGGGTTTTCAGCGGCCCGGGCATCCGAGGGGCACAAACTGTAAACCTGCACCAGGAAAGTGGCCCAACCGCATCCAGCTGCAATACCTCGGGTCGGGTGGCCAACCAGTTGAGCCAGGTCTCTGGTAGCCGCCAGTCTCGTGCTGCTGTACTGGCCTGAACTGATCTTCAACAGGACGCTGCTAAAACCTGTGTCGTGGACCCTCTCCGTCAACTTCTGGTGACTGATGTGCTCATCGTAGTTGCTGAGGTCCCACAGCGCAGCACCTGAATGGAGTGGTTCATTGCGGGCCACTCCGTTCTCAGCCTTGAGGCCCTGGCGGAACACTACTTAGGTGATGCTCTTGCCCGCCTGGTGGGCCAAAAAGGGTCTTCGGTGCTTTGCCCCCCATCGTCGTGCTTCAACGTGTCGGACCCTGGGCCAAAGTCGGTATAATCCAAGCATTATTCAAATGCCTCTAAACTGGGCCGCAGTTTTGGATTCGGGCTTCACTTTCGTCTTGGGGACCAGCACGGAGACAACGGCCTGCAACAGAGTTGGTATAGCACCAATCCTCTCGGCGAGGTGGAGGAAGCGGCAGACCAGCTCGGCTTGCGCAAATGTGAGACTCTGGAAGTGCTTCGGGCGAAACCCATCCCAAGTCGACGCCGTCGCATGGGGCAACTTTTTGGCCGCGTCAAGAACGTCTTGGGGCCTGATGGGGGGCAACTCTCTCTCGTGAGGTCCTGGGGGCACATTGTAGTGGGGTCTGTGGTAGGGCGTTTCCCAAGGATCTCCCAGCCGTTCCGAATCGTGCTCTAAGACCTGTGATGGTCTCCCAGTCCAGACACCTTTCCTGGGGGCCTCATTCGGGTTCTACGCGTCAACCATCCTAGTCCAGCGGTGAGCCCAGCCTCCGTTGCCCTGAGTGCCTATTTGTACCCACTCGCGCCAGGCCTTAGTGGCGGCTCGTTTTTTTCTTCCACGCCGATATCCTGGTCCAGGCGCCGTTGAATATCATCCAAAACTTGGTCCAAAACTCGTCTTCCATGGGCTAAATCCAAGACCTCGGCTCCCACGTCCACGATCAGGAAATTGAGGCGCTGGTGGGCGTCGTCTAGGCACTCGCGGAGCGTATCTATCTCGCAAAACTCGTTCGGTGGTTCCTCTAGGCACACGGTAATATTGGCGAGGGCGTTGGGATCTAGCTTCTCAGGCTGGAAGTAGAACTGCTGCGCGACATTCCGAAGCCATCTGAGGGGGGCGGCGTGCGACTTCCAGGGAACTCGATGCCCCTTCAAAAACTGCTTCGCTTTATCGGCCAGCTCGGCAATCGTAACCTCCAGCAGGTCCCTGGCCAGGAAATGATGAACTTCGCCCAGCACGCCTTGCTTCTCCCCCTGGGTCGGTTTCTCGAGACTCCTGCTCAAGATGGTTCCGGCAGCGTATAGGGCGGCCTCTGTGGCCAGCCAGTCTCTGTCAGGCAAATTGGGGCCCGGCACGGGCCTGGTGGGCAGTCGCTGCGGCTTGCGCAGAATCGAGACTATGAAGTCCTCGCCAATCTCGA